CACTGTTACTGCCACTCCTCCGACTGACACACAGGGAGAGAGACACTGTTACTGCCACTCCTCCGACTGACACACAGTGTGTACAGTATCTGTACTGTGGGGTGTATACAGTGTCTACAGTACCTGTACTGTGGGATGCTCGGTGCTGTTGCCTGGTTCACTCTCAGTCCTGGGGGAGGCTCTATTCCTGGGGCTCAGAACCTGAGGAGGGCTGTGAGAAAAGGAAGTTGGGAGCTGAGGGTTACACACATACAGCCTGTCAGTGTATGAGTCAGACTAAAGAGACTCAGTTCCTCCAGTCTGTCAGTGTGGGACACTCCCTTCAGACTAAAGAGACTCAGTTCCTTCAGCCTGCCAGTGTGGGACACTCCCTTCAGACTAAAGAGACTCAGTTCCTCCAGCCTGTCAGTGTGGGACACTCCCTTCAGACTAAAGAGACTCAGTTCCTCCAGCCTGACAGTGTGGGACACTCCCTTCAGACTAAAGAGACTCAGTTCCTCCAGCCTGTCAGTGTATGAATCTATTGGTTGTCCTTTACTGTACTGATTCCAGAGCAGTAAATTATTTTTGTTAATCTGGTGACCAACATTGTTAGTGAAAAACTGTTGTGTATTGCTAATTGCTGATGATGATAAATCAATAATGATTTCTGAAAACTTAGGGTGATTGGTTGGATGAACTGACAAATAATGATTAGTAATTGATTATGATTGTGGATTTCTAATGTGATGCCAGTGTGTATTTACATTATACAAATAATGAAGTAAAATTACTATAGATCATTGCACAAAGATACAAATTCAGTGATTACTAATGTCTGACCACGGCAGATTGGGTCATCAATCAATAATCAGAATAATCAGTAATGTAATTGGTTAATAAGTACTGACACATCACCCTGCGTCTATTGGATTAATTCATATTATGTTAACGTCAACTAATGCTGACAACAGATTATTAATCAGTGATTAGTAATGATTTAATTGTACTCCAAGGTGTACGCATGGTAGCTGATTGATACAGATTGATATGGGTTATCGATCATCGGTTATAAGTGAGTGCAGGCACACTGTTCTTCCTGAAGAGATGCTGATTGATAGTAATTGGTTATTGATCAGTGGCTGCTGATTACCCCTTCCGGTTGCACTGACCTGTCCGTCCGGCTGCCCCTCTCGGATTCCAGCTGGGCCTCCAGCAGGATGCTCTCCAGCTCTCCCTGCAGGAGGGAGGAGTGGGTGCGCGCCGGCCCCTCCACACCTGCCTCGCACGCCTGCAGCTCCTCCCACGAGCCTGCAGCCGATCAGACACACAGCAGGGGGAGTCCCAGCACAGCTCAGGGCTCAGCACGGCACTGTCAGTCTCACACAAAGACAGCCGGCAGGCGGCCCCAGACTAGCGCGGCCTGACAGCTGCTTATGTAAGAGATCAGCTAACTGCCCATAAGCCCCCCCAGCTCCCCCTCCTCTCTCTGTCCAGGCAGAGCCACGAGCGGATCCTCACGTGCACACAGTGCCCTCAGCAACGACACATCACAACAGAGATTCCACAGAACTGACTCCACATAAGATCTGGATCACTTTATTGGCCATGTACAATTTCTTGAATTAGACCCCAGCTTGCTCTCCATGAGACACACAGACAGGGTGAGCTTGGGGTCAGAGCGCAGGGTCAGCCATTTATACGGCACCCCTGGAGCAGCTGGAGATAAGGGCCTTGCTCAGGGGCCCAACGGAGTAGGATTCCTCTGCCAGCCGCGGGATTTGAACCAGCAACCTTCCGGCCACAGGCGCAGATCCTGAGCCACAGAGCCACCGCTCTGCCCCGCCTCCATCCGCCTGTATCTGACTCCAGACAGACTACAGACAGGAGTGTAGGAACAGAGGACTGCAGGGAGACAGGATAGGGATGACTCCAGTGATAGTGTCAGTCCAGCAGACTGACTGGACACTGGACAGATCACACTGAGCCCCCAGCAGACTGAACACTGGACATACTGTATCACCCTGAGCCATCAGCAGTCTGACTGGACAGGTCACCCCGAGATCCTAACAAACCGACTGGACACTGGACAGATCATCTGAGCCTCCAAGGGACTGACTGGACACTGGACAGAGGAGACTCCAGGACTGTCTCTCACCCCTTGCCCCCAACCCTGTTCCCAAACAATCACATTTTCAGTCACGCAAAGAGATAGACAGCTGTCAAAGGCATCTTAATACAGGAGCAGCTGTCATTGACAGCAAGCCTCACGCAAAAGTCAGCACCGAACCCCAGATTACCCCCACTTCATGGAGCGCACGTGTTTGTGTCCTCTATGTGTCTCTTGAGTCCACTGTGTGTGCTTGTGTCCACAATTCTTCCTTGTGTCTGCTATGTGAACCTTGAGTCCACTGTGTGTCCATTGTGTCCACTATGCTTCCTTGTGTCCACTGTATGTGCCTTGTGTCTGCTGTGTGTGTGTCCACTGTGGCTCCTTGTGTCTACTGTGTGTCCAGTGTGTCCTTGTGTCTGCTGTGTGCCTGTGTGTCCTTGTGTCTGATGTGTGCCTGTGTGTCCTTGTGTCTGCTGTGTGTCCACTGTGTGTCCATGCATCTGCTGTGTCTGTGTGTCCACTCTGTGTCTGCTGTGTGTCTGTGTGTCCACTGCGCCTCCTTGAGTCCACAGTCCTTCCTCTCCCGGACCCCAGTATTCCTACCCCCAGCTCCCCTGCACTCGGCACAAACTCTACAGGCGAGAGACCAGCGTGTGGACACGCTTATTACAGGCTCATGAGAAGACCTCCCGCGCCGGGCTGATTACGGTTCACAAACACGTCTCACGTCCCAGCCGCAGCGCCCGCAGAGGGCAGAACCGCGAGCTGCCCCGTCTCGCGGAACATGCCGTTCCGCACGAGCGCAGCGGCGCCCGGGACCCAGCGCGCATGTCCCCGGAGGAGCCCGTCCTGCGCAAGACCTGGTTCATTCAGCACCACGGCCGTGCGTCAGTGTGTACCGCACGCCCGCTTCCCCACCTGCGGCGCTGAAGACTTTAATTCACGCGAGCGGATAAGCGCAGCGTCTCTACCCAGCGGCTGACAGGTCCCGCACCCTCGCCCCGGGTCACAAGCCCCAGCGAGCCTCCGGGCTGGGCGCTCCGGCGAGTCCCCCCGAGACGGCAGCGACACACCTGTCCAAATCCCCGAGGCTGCACGCAGACTCGTGTCTCTGGCTCTTGAACAGTTGCTTTTTACGAACTACGTTAAGAAGCGCGAATCGACCGTTTAAACGTTCTGCATTACGAACTTCCCGAAAAAAAACGCTCTTCCCATTTTTACCGTTAGTTATGACTCTGCCTAGAATAAAAAATAACAAGCTAAAAAGGACCGTCTTGTTTTAAATTTACATTTAAACGAATTCGTCATTCTTATTTTTCCTTCTTGACGCGATTGTGTTGGTCGCGCAGGGCTGTTCCCCCAGCCCAGCGAAATACAGCCCTAGCACTGTACTGACCCCCGGACCCCCGGACCCCCTGACCGCCTCGTGCTCCGGCGGGCACTCACCGAGCAGGCTGTCCGGGGGGCTCGGCGCTCGTGGCGCAGTCATGGTCGGGCTGCTGTCGGGCTCTGCGCGCTGTCTGGACACGGCGGGCTGCCCGCTCTGGCTGACTCTCTCCCTCTCCCCGCGGATCAGTGTGCGGGTGCTCACGCCGGCACGTCGGCAGTGTCTGTCGGCACCGCGTCGCTCGGATCCCCTACCGGGCTGGGAGGCCGACGGCTCCGCCCCGCACACCTGCCGCCGGGAGAAGTACCGGGCCCGTCGCTGACGTCGGGACCAGGTCGCTCGCAAAGCGCCGGAGCGACGGGCTCGCTGCGGGCTCACGCACAAGAACTGAGCACAGCCCTGA